AAATGCATTCCTACTTTGAAATTTGACAAACAATAATCATTTTCAGTACCGTCTTCTTTCCAACTCATAATCAGACAGAAGCTCCAAGATCATGGACAGCAGATAATCTTGTGACTGAGCTAACAGGATCTCTTTAATCTCTGCCAGGGAAACACTTTCATAAATTTCCCCCACTCGGATCATCAGAACTTGGGAAGAGGGATGCCAGAAAATAGAGAGAGAAAGGAACTGTTTTGGATATAAAATGTAGTTCTGAAATCACTCCGGCTTAGTATATGATGGAGACTTTAGATGTGGAGGGAATGAGAAGAAAAAATTCAGGGAAGGAGTTTGAAACAAATTCTAAAATGGCAGGTGTCATCAATCACTGAATTTTTGTTGTTGTTGGCTTGATTTTTTTTCCTTGGTAGAACAAGGTAATTTTTATTGAAACTTATTTAGAAAAATGTGAGGAGAGACAGAGGAAGACGTGCATTTTCAAGAGAGACCACAGGCTTCTTTCTCCAGAGTAGAAATAGGCAAGCAAAGAACCATCGAGACTAACAAGCGAGTGATGTGTTCTGGGGAGAACAGGGGCTTGAAGAGTGGGCCTATTTGAATGTCTTGTCATAAGGGAACTCAAGCTCTATAGAGAGGGAGAGAGTGGACTCAGTGGTCCTAAAGCTCACCACAGAACAGCCAAAACCACCAATTCAGAAACAGAAATAGATCCAGAATGATAGCACAGAGGGTAGAGCGCTTGCCTTCCACGCAACCGACCTGGGTTTGATCCCCAGCATACCATATGGTCTCAAGAGCACTGAAGGAATAATTCCTGAAGGCTGTGCCAGGATTAAGTCCTGAGCGCAGCCAGGTGTGATCCCCAAAACCGAAACAAAACAAAAAATAGAAACAGAAATGAAGTTCATTTCCTTCAACAGGCCTTCCCCCCCACCCCCGCCCTACCCCACCCTTATTACAGGTGATGGTGTCCACTGTACTATTAGGTGTGCCACATCACCCTTCCAATGGATTGCTCTCACAGTACTAGCCTTTGGATTGTCTATTGGCACCATGTCCAAGTATAAGCTTTCCCCAGCTCAGCAAGTGTCAGTCATGTAGAAAAATCTATGGAAATCTCCCAGTCAAGGAAACGGTTGCTCCCTTACTTCCTGATCACTGACTTACAGCATGACTTATGGACCTAAGACAAACAGGAATGACAAAAAAGGTGGATCGAGTTGATTGTCACTGCCCTGGACCTGTCATCTCATTTTCTTTGATAAATCTGTGCTTGAAATATCCAGAGTTCCTACTAGACTTCAATGTCTTAGAAGTAGTCTGAAATGAAAGACATTCCCAAGGTCAGTGTGACTTCTGATAATTCTTCCTGGAACAAAACAAACTTTGGATTTCTTGGTCAGTTTCCATAATTGAAACTGTGACTAAAAATGGCAACACTGCCTGTTTTTCTTTCTTTGGTCAATAAAGACAAGTTTGATGAAGCGAATAAGTTCACGAGACTTAAAGTTCCCCACTGAGCACTATAAAATGATATATCTACGTATAAATCATTGTGTTAGCCTTTGGATTGTCTATAGGCATATGTCCAAGTATAAACTTTCCCCAACATTTAAATACATTAAATACATTTATTACATTTATATACTGTCACTGTCTTCCCATTGTTTATCGATTTGCTCGAGCAGGCCCAGTAACATTGTGAGACTTGCTACTGTGTTTGGCATATTGAATACATCACAGGGAGCTTGCCAGGATTTTCCCCCCACCCCCGCCCTATCCCACCCTTATTATAGGTGGTGGTGCCCACTGTACTATTAGGTGTGCCCCATCGCCCTTCCAAAGGATTTCTCTCACAGTGCTAGCCTTTAGATTGTCCATTGGGTGTGCGAGAGAGATACTGTCAGTAGCTTGCTGGGCTCTTCAAGAGGGGCAGAGGAATCGAACTCGGGTCAGCTATGTTGGCTGCGTGCAAGGTAAACGCCCTACCCGCTGTGATACTGCTCCAGCCCGTTTATATACATTAAATTAAATACATTTAAACATCAAAAGTAATGAATAAATTATTCTAGGACTGTGAGATGTTGAAATACCTGAAGACCTTTTACAGATGTTGCTGGCTCCTGATTCTTGAGAGAATGTGAGTCTGTGACCAGATACTGAGAATTTTGTGGTGAAAAAGAAGTGAAGGACTAGAGAGGCATAAGGACACGTTTAAAGACCAAAGAGATGAAGTGTTTGACAGTAATGAGTTCAAAGCTGTATTCTGGGTGGCAGGAAATGTGCACAGGTAAAGGGATGGGTGTTGGAACTTCCTATGACTGGAATTCAATCATGAACAACTTTGTAACTATGGATCTCACAATTATTGAATTAAAAAAATAATAATAATGCTTTGTTCGGCTCCTAACCTTTCACATATTGGTAAGATGTCTAGAACCAACCAACGTGAAGCAGAACATGGCACAACTCCATCTACCTCTCATTCTCTCTCAGGGTGTTATTGGACCAGAGGCAAATTCATAGCAATACTGAAAGAGTTAAATGTTGTCAATTATTTTCCTTCATTATTATCTCTTTTCCCCTCTTAGGCAAGAGAACCCTACAACAATCTCTTTGTGTCCTGTTATACTATTTATCTCCTTTCTCATAAAAAGAAGTAACTGTAATTCACCAACTTTCAAATGTTCCCAAATATAGGCTTATCAAAGTTACAGTGATAATCAAAATTGTTTCTAAAGCAAGGTAGCTCCTAAAACTTTGAGCCTGCTTAATGTTCTCTGTCGAGAAGACTGAATCAAGACATTGTCGTACATGTACCCAATGAAAAGCTCTGCAGCTTAAGAAAAGATGAAATCGTGCATTTCACTGCAACTTCAGTGGAAAAAAAATATTATCGGGGTGAAGAGTACCATATTAAGTGAAATAAATCAGATGGAAAAGAACAAATACCAGCTGGTCTCATTCATTTGTGATACGGAGAGAAACAAAACTAGGGAAGAGACCATATTGAGCCTTGGCAAACCTTTGGCCTTGGATTATAAAACTGATTGATTACACTTAATAGTGGGGAAGCAAATGGGAGAATGAAGATCAAACAAGAGTTGACAAAGGGCTAGTGACAGACACTAATTAGGAACTTTGGAGGTGGTGAGATACAGTCACTTTGTACATCTATTTGCACAAAACATTAACACTATTGTAATCATATTACCTAAATGACAAGATTATTTTAGAAAAAAATATTATCGGGGTGGAGAGATAGAACAGTGGATAAGTTGTTTACTTTGCATACAACAGACCCAGATTTAATTCCTGTCACCCCGTATGGTCCCCCAAGCACTGCCAGGAGTGATCCCTGAATACAGAGCCAAGAATCAACCCTGTACACCACTGGGTGTGACCCACAAAAGCAAACAAAAAAATATTTTTTGTCCAGAAAATTGGCGACATTATCCTCAATAATAACCAGTGAATATAACCTCACACATTTGAGCATTTGTGAGACGCTAGGGATAAGACATCTTAAATGTGGACTCTTCTCGGTTCCTAAAATTATGTGGCCCTGAAGATGGTCCCATGCATGCTTTCTTCAAAAAGTTTTGGAAATGTTTAATTCAGAACTTCTAGTTGTTAACTGTATCTCTAGAATAAAAGAAATTAAAATTTAGCCTCCAAGGGTAGAGATGTTACAAGGGTAACACTTGCATGTAGCCAACCCTAGTTAAATCATCTGGTTTTTCCACACACAGCCAGGCAAGATGCCTGAGTACTGAACCAAGATAAGTCCTGACCGCTACTGGGGAATGACCCCAAAACCTAAAAAATAAAATATAAAATCAAATAAAATTTAGTCTTCAGTACCCATGTCTGCTTTGAAATAATCTTATACATAAAACCATCAATCATGCGAGTGTATCTGTATTGCTAACCCTTCTGAAAAATAAGTTTTTACATTCCTTACATTCTTAGAGGCTAGATTAAAAAAAATCCCCCAAGAATTTTCAAGACCTAGAAAAAGAGTACAGTCAAATAATTCACTGTAAATATTGGGACACAGAACAAATTTTAAACTGCTCTGGCACTCACAGTAATACTAAAACATTCTCATTTGGTCTCAAAGCAACACCAGTGTTTATTTTCCTGACCTTTGCAACCTTCTCAAATCATTTTTAAATAGCTCCATTAAAGTAACTTTCATATTATATAAAGGACAGTGATGAGTGTTTCTAAAAGAAAATTTTATTTTTTCATCTTGCTATAACATTGTCCTATAATCCAGTAATCTTCAAATTGTCATTCCTCCTCACATTTTAGAAGATAAAAATTTCAATGTCAACAAGGAATAAATAACTGTACTAAAATAAGCTTGAAAACAGCAACACCAATTCCTCTTTTGTGTACGCTCTGATCATAAAGAAAATATTGATGAAAACTGCTTGTGTTTCAAGTGGTTAGGAGTGCTGAGAAGGAAAGATCTTTCCAACCGAAGAACTGTGTGGCAGATAAACATTATAAAAAGCATTCACATGTCTAAAATCCCAAAAGAGGGATTTTTTACCCTAGGATTTCCCCAAGGGTGGAGAGGCTGCATGAATGATAACAATATGACATTAATGAAGCAAAATTAAACCACCTTCCACTTAGCAAAGCATAACCAAAATTTCCCCAATAATAGATTCATTTCAAAAATGTGTTCAGGATTCATAATGAAAATCAGCAAATAGCTGATTTAGTGCAGAGAGCATACTAGGCCAAAATAAGTAATTATTTGCACCATAACTACTTCCAACACCATGAACTATGTGCATCAGAACTTCAATTCAAAAATAATCTTAGAACAGAAAACAAACAAAAAAAAAACCTCAAATAATCAAATATCAGCACACTCAGAACATTCCTGTTGGGTACAAACTGACCGGGAAATTCACTGTGCTGCCAATCAAATTCATTCACCCAGAATGAATCTGAATAATCAGTGGGATGGAAATCAACATTACCTTTGAAAATCGAGCATTTATCCATTTGGTAAAAGTTTTCTTCTGTACGTCATTGTGTTCATCTGTAGGAGAAAGAAGAAAAAAGTATGAGTGAGTGTATCTTTGCTAAGATACGATCTTACCAAATAAGATTATCCCTATCCTGGAGAGTTTTAAATAGTCCTATTAGCAGAGTTCTAGAGGCATAATGATCCATAGCTAATAAAGAATGTGATGGCTGATGAGTTTGTGAGCTCTGGAGCTGGCTAACCCTGCCTCGACAGAAGGAAACACAGGAAGTTCTGCCCCTATGGCTTGGCTAGAGCTGTCAGTCATTCAGTCCATAGTATGGGACAGAGTCAGGACCTTACTTCCATATGGTTACATGCAAGACTCTGTTGAATCTTGTTTAAGATGTTAGCATGATGAAACTGTTAGCCTGTTTCAGGCAAAAACTAGAGTCCTCCTTTACAATTCACACTCACAACTGCCCTCCACCGTAGCACTGTAGCACTGTCCTCCTGTTGTTCATCAATTTGCTCCAGCGGGCCCAGTAACATCTTCATTATGAAACTTGTTGTTACTGTGTTTGGCATATCAAATATGTCACAGAGAGCTTGCCAAGCTTTGCCATGTCGGCGAGATACTTGTGCTGGGGCGAGATACTTGTGCTGGAGCGAGAGCACAGCAAGTAGGGCGCTGGCCTTGCATGCGGCTGACCCAGCTGACCGGAGTTCAATTCCTCCGCCCCTCTCGGAGAGCCCAGCAAACTACTGAAAGTATCTCACCCGCCACCAAGCTCCCCGTGATGTATTCAGTATGCCAAACACAGTAACAACAAAGTCTCACAATGGATACGTTACTGGGCCCACTGGAGCAGACTGCCCTCCATTTTTAACAAATCCAATACTCTCCAGAAAAAAAAAAAAGTAGGATATGATTTCCAAACAATTCCAAAAGTCCAACTACTGAAATAAGACTGATATAACAAGGTTTTAAGAATCTAAAAAGCTGATCTATGCATTCATTTTTAATTCAAGAAATCAGTCAGGTTTTTAAAAGTGATGCATTTTGATTTTGAAAGCAAAGCCTCAAGTGAAAATTGCCCTCACAAAGCAAAAGAAGAAACTCCTGAAGGTGTGTAATATAACGATGAGTCTCAGTATTTGATGTGAAATGAAGTATTGGATTGTAAAAGATAAACTGTCTCACGCACCAATTATTTCAAAAATACTCCAAAATGTATAAACACTCCTCCATAATTTTTATTTTCCTGCTGGAGCTCAAAGGGGGAGGGTCTTGCATTCACCATTTTCAGACACACACACACACACACACACACACACACACACACACACACACACACACTCTTGCTTTCTATCAGACAGGAATGCAGCAAAAGAATCATCCTTCCACATCTCAACTATGAAATTTTAAAGTGTAACAAATCTGGCAGACTCTCTAGTATAGAACTGCCTTTCATACCACAACAATTAATATAAACAACCTTCTTCTGGGTCTCTGTTTGAAGAAGGTGAAAATATGCCAGCAATGTGGAAGGAGGACAACGACGAGTGGAAGCATGCTATTCCGGATCAATCATTTTGGTTTTTTCTAGAAATTTCGGTGGACTTTGGAAAGTCTCTAGTTCTTTCAACTCACCACTAAAAAGTTGGTTCTTTTTCTTTAATCAAAATATAAATGTGCAGGTGAAAGATGCAAATTTACATTTTGATTTATAACTACTTTATAAACAAATTAGATGGCACCTGTATTACATGAGTGAATATATTTTCTATTCTAAATATCTTCTTTGAGATTTCCGCACAAGGGGTTGCTTGAGATTTGGGATTTAGAAAACCAGTGAGTTTCTGAGAACCTTTCCTAGTTTAGCAAATCCTACCCATTAATGACCTTTCTCTCTTTGGAGGACAAACACGGGACTGAATTGGGAGGAGAAAAATGTGTTAAATCCCTTGAGGCTGATTTTCCAAATTCTTCCTCTAAATATTTTGCTCTTCTTAAAATGCTTCTGACATGCTCACACAGATCCAAGGACCTTCGCCTCTGCCTAGCCTGGAATTTTATTTCTGCAGTGGGTAAGAAAAGCAAAGCCAAAGGGAGCAACCAAACTGCCTGAGAAAGAAAACAGCAACAAATCTCATTTTAAATCCTAAACTGGAAATGTGGTGGTGAAATCAAAGAGTTGTCTCCCTTACAGAAGTACACAAGTCTTAGGAATGTGTAGGCCCCCATTCACAGTCGACTGTTAGAGAGAGAGCATTACCCCTCTAGCACAAATTTCAAAACAATGAAAGAGTGTTCAACTGGCTGACCATAATCAAAGTTCCACTGAGTACAGCTATCCAGAAAAGAATGTACAGAAGAATGAAAATAAAAGAAAGAAAGGAGAGGAGAGGAGAGGAAAGCAGGGAGGGGAGGGAAGGGGAGAGAAAGGAGGAGAGGGGAGGGAAGGGAGGGGAGGGGCAGGGTAGGAAGAGGAGGGGGAAGGGAGAGAAGAAGGGAGGAAAAACTTGTTGAATGAATTAAAACTTGCCTTAACTCTTATAAAGCCTTTATCACAAAACATAGCTCCCCTAGAAAGCCAGTTCCTCACTAATGAGATTTCAAAAGCAAAGAAAGCATTTCCGACCATACTCTCGCTCTTCTCACTGTGAAATCCGTACCAAAATAAATCTACTATTGAGTCTTAGTTATGTCATTCTCTGCTTTTACTTCTCTAATCCCCAATTTGCTTGTCTCCGCAATTTGTTTATTCAAACAGCATGTACTTTTATAGGTGATAGGGAAACATAAATATTATGTAATAATTGTTAAATACAATAAATATTTCAACAAGGAAACAGAGACAAGAGGAGACAGGCTGCTCTTAAACAAATTGCTGTTGAAAAACTCAGATGTCCTGAGAGGACCTGAAAAAAAAATCATTATAATTAAAAACGTGCTATACAAAACTCTCAAAACTACTTAAGGGTACAAGTTCAGATAATTACATTTCAAATGATGTGTCTCTAAGTCCACTATATTTTTATTTTGAAGTTATTCAAGCTAAAAAGTGCAATTAAAACTGACTTTCACTCCACTCCTTAAAAATCAAAAACCAAGTTGACAGTCTCTGTGGGAGAAATGGTGATGGAGAGAGGAGGAAGAGAAGAAAAATAACTCTGCTTCCTTTTTTATAAAAATATATGTGATGTATGTACACACACACACGCACATGCATATATGTGGTATTGGGACCATACCCAACTGTGCTTCAGGGCTCTATGCTCAGGGCTCTGTGTTCAGGGTTCTTTGCTCAGGGGCTACTCTTAGTGAGGCTTAGGGGACCATATGCAGTTCCAGAGACCAAACCCAGGTCATGTGCATGCAAGGCAAGTGCTCTAACCACTGTGCTACTACTGTGGCCCATCAGGCTTTTTTCAAGTGAGAAAACTCAGTCTCAATGTCAAAAGTAAAATGAGTTCTCATGAGTCTCCACTCTGTTCTGACCAGGCAGTTCTGATCAACTCCTGAACCTGAGCCCAACACACTTCATGGGAAGAGGAAGTGAGAAGGTTTCAGAAAATGGGCTTAAAAAATTTCATAAAGTCTTTATAAGCACTGTGATTTACAATACTGCTGATGGTAGGGTTTCAGGAGTACAGAGTTCCAGCACCGTGTCTACTTCCCTCCACTACAATCTCAAAGTCCCCTCTAGCTCACTCCCACTCCATACCCTCCCCTCGGTACGCTCAGTTCTGTGACCCAGTTCTTAGGTCCTACTGTCTTTGTCCATTTGTTATTCCCTTGCTGTTTCTTCATATCCCACATATGAGAGGGATCAATCTGTATCTGTCCCTCATCTTCTAGACTTCACTCAGCATGAACCCTACAGTTCCACCTACAAAGCGCCAAACTGCATGATAATAATGACATTATCACCTCACACCTGTAAGGCTAGCGCACATTTTTTTTACAAAAAGAAGAAGAAAAAAAAAACAACCAGTATTTGGCATAGATGTAGGGAAAAGGAACCCTTGTCTACTGCTGGTAGGAATCTGAACTGGTTCAACTTCTTTTGAAAACAATAGACACTTCTCAAAAAACAAAAAATCCTAAAAACTGCACTTCCATAATTTTTGGAAATCCCACTTCTCAGCATCTACCCCAAGCCCCCCCAAACATTTCTATGTTCATTGCAGTGTGTTCCATAATAACCAAGATCTGGAAACAACCCAAGATCCAGGAAGAGAGGAGCATTCAGTGAAATAGTGCTATACACACAAATGGAATACTTACTCAGATATAAGAAAATTGACTTTCCAAATAGTTGATTATAAAGAAGCAAAGCAAGTGAACTAATGAAACAAGACAAATACAGATTCTCCCACAAAAAGAATAGATTGGAGGTTACCAGAGGAATAGGAGTTGGGGAAGGGGGAAAATGGGCAATTGGAGAGAAGTTTACGGTGATATATGGCAACAAGATGAGTGACAGACAAGTGCCTAGTTACAATGAGGTACACCTGAGGTAGGTTTTTTTTTTTGTTTGGGTTTTTGTTTGTTTGTTTGTTTTGCAGGGGGCAGGGGTGTGTGTGTGTGTTTATGTTTTTTGGTTTTTGGGTTTTTTTTTTTGTTTGAGGGATACAGCAGGCCGTGCTCAGGAGTTATTCCTGGCTCTGCACTCAGGAATTATTCCTTACAGACTTAGGAGACCATATGAGTGCCAGGGATTGAACACTGGTGAGCCACAAGCAGGGCAAATGCCCACCCTGCTGTACTATCACTCCAGCCCGTGAGGCCTACACAATGTAAGTCAATGAATATTATTCAGCAAAAACACACTGGTGATAAAACAAAAAGTATCCTGAAGGGCAAATGAAGACATAGGACATCCTAAACAGAATACAAAAGAACAGATACAACAGTGCTTTCTTTATTTCAAGATCACACTGAATATTAGACAGAAAAGAGAATATTAAATCAAAACCATAATTGCGCATTGTCAGGAAGATACAGATAGCTATAATTCACGATGAAGTTCAAACAATGTTTCTGAAGTAATTTAAACATCACAAAG